TAAATGGATATTGAATCACCAGGACCAGATGGCATCTACCCAAATTTTAGGTAAAATTGTGTAATAGCAGACCAAAATGCATAGCCTGTCATTCTAAATAACTATTGTGCCATGAGCCTGGCAGATTGGCAACAAGTCATCTTTCCACGAGAAGCATTTTATTTTATTTTGTTGAGTCAAGGTCTCACTCTGTCACCCAGGCTGGAGTGCAGTGGCATGATCATGGCTCACTGCAGCCTCAATCCCCTGGGCTCAGGTGATCCTTCTGCCTTAGCCTTTTAAATAGCTGGGACTACAGGTGCATACCACCATGCCCAGCTAATTTTTAAAACATTTTCTTTTTTGTAGAGATAGGATCTTGTTATGTTGCCTAGGCTGGTCTCGAACTTCTGGGCCTATGCAATTCTCCTGTCTTGGCCTCCCAAAGTGCTGGGATTATAGCTGTGAGCCACCACACCCAGCCTGAGAAGCATTTTAAAGGGGGCCAAAGAACTTCAGGCTGGTAGGATCACTGTACATGTTAGGTAAGTGTAATGCACTGGGGGCGAGGTATCATTTTTTACTGTAAGTTAAATTAACCACCATTTGTATAGCGTTTTACAGTTTATAAAGCATGTAGGGTTAATCTTACCCAACAAATTGACTAGAACTGAGAGGATACATATGCATGTGGACAAAAGGATGTAATTTATTTAGCTTTTGAAAAGGCTCTTGGCGGGACTCGGTGGTTCAGCCTGTAATCTCTGCACTTTGGGAGGCCGAGGTGAGTGGATTGCCTGAACCCGTGGGTTCAAGACCCGCCTGGGCAACTTGCGAGACTTCTTCTCTACAATAAATTAAAAATTAGCCGGGCGTGGTAGCACGCATCTGTAATTCTGGCTACTTGGAAGGCTGAGGTGGGAGGATCACCTGAGCCCAGCAGATCTAGGCTGCGGTGGCTGGGAGCGTGTCACTGCACTCCAGTCTGGGTGACAGAGTGAGACTCCAACTAAAAAAAGAAAAGAAAAGAAAAGAAAAAGAAAAGGTTTTTTTCAAACCTTTTGACAAGGTCTCACACCAAACACTGGGTTTGACAAGGTCTCACACCAAACACTGTTTTAAAAGGCAAGTCGCCATGAAATTTTGAAGCAGTGTTTTGAAATGGATAGTGAAGTGGCCTCTAAGCAGGAAAGCACAGGTAAGAATAAGAAGGAACTTTTCTGGAGAAGTATGAACAGTGATGTGTCCCAGAAATCAGTGCTGAGACCAGTCAACATCTTGGTGAATCATCTGGGCAACCTTTAGATAATCATAAACTTTTCCAGGTAGTAAACTGCAAAACTGACTTCAATCTTTTTGTGGTTGTATTAACAAGCAGAGAAAAAAAGAGCCAGAATAGACTTGTTCAAGAAGTAGTCTCTGAAACCTGACAGCCTGGCTCTAAATCCCAACTCTTCCCTTAGTGACTGCATGACCTTTAGTAAGTCACTCTACCTCTTTCTGCGTCAGTTTTTCTCATTTGTAAAGTGAGACGAGTAATGATCCCTGCCTTGTAGTGGTGTTGTGAAATGATATGAGACAATGAGTGCCAAATTCTGGCACTGTGTCCAATGAGCATTAGCTTCTATTATTTTTACTTTTTATGTTTATTCAACATTCGTTTCATAGGATGCCAGACTTTGAGTAATCACTTTATGCCCTATGGACCTTGGGAGCCATCATAGGCTATTTTTTGAAAACACTGGCAGAATTTGTTTTAGTAATTCAGAGGACAGAGGTAACTATGGACTGAGATGGTTGTGAAAGATTTCATGAAGGAAAACTAAAAATTATGGAACACCTAGTACATGCTAGTATATGCCAGGTACTAGGTTAGATGCTTTATGAACTTTCCTCCTCAATTTAATCCTGCAGTAGTCCTATGAAGTTGGGGTTATGATTCACATTTGATGGGTGAGAGAATGGAGACGTAGAGAGGAGGCTAAGAAACTTGTCTCAGGTTAGCCGGGCGTGGTAGTGTGTGCCTGTAATTCCGGCTACTCAGAAGGCTAAGGCAGAAAGATTGCGGAGCCCAGCGGGTTGAGGCTGCGGTGGCCGGAAGCGTGTCACTGCACTCCAGTCTGGGCGACGAAGTGAGATTTCAACTCAAAAAAAAAAAAGAAACTTGTCTCAGGCCACACTAATTCATAAAAAGTGGAGCCGGAATTCAAATACAGGTTTACTCTACCACAAAATCTATTTTCTTTTCACTGCATTATACTTCAATTTCACCTTAAGGGATGGTACTATTTAAGCAGGAAGAAAAGAGGTGTATCAATATAGAAATAAACATGAGCAATGGTAGAAAGACAGAAATAAGAACAATATTTGTATGGGAATCATGAGGCATGAATATGGCTTACCAAAATGGAGGGTTTTTGAGGGGCTGGTGGTGGGAAATGAAGCCAGAAAGGTAGTTTAGGCTACAATAGATGGCCCTCAGAACTCTGCTAAGGAGTCTGAACTTTTACCTTAAGGCAATTGGGACAGCTGAGCTAGGGAAAGATACGAGATATTTTAGAAAGATTAACCTGGCAGCTGTGCAACATGAATTTGATGGACTCTTCTGCCTGGTTCCCCAATTCTTTGTTCTCTAATCTGCTAACCTAAGATTGCCTGAACCTAGAAGCCTAAAGACCACTTAGAATGTGATTGCAATAGTATAGCATTGACAGAAGCAGAACAAATAACAAAGAAAGAATCAAAAGAAATGTGGGGCCCAACTGCATGTGAAGGGCAAGGGAGAAGACAGAGTCAAAGATGGCTTCGGTTTTAAGCATCAGTGACTAGAAGAATGTAGGTGGTGTTAGAAAAAAAGATATTCAGAGAGCTATTGGTCTGGGATCGTCAGTCAATAAGTTTCACTTGCGACACATCAAGTTGGGGTAGGGAAGCCAGACAGAAATGACTAGTAAACAGCTGGAGATGTGGGATGACAGCTTAGGAGAACAGTTGAATTGTAAGTTATCCCCATAGTAGTATAATAGTTACAGAGTGTTCATTGTAACATTATGTACAATAGTCAAGAGGTAGAAACAACCTAAGTGTTCACCAATGGATGAATGGATAAAGAAATTGTGTTACATACATACAATGGAATATTATCCAGCCTTAAAAAAGCAGGAAATCTCGCCACAGGCTACAACATATATGAACATTGAGAACATTATGCAAAGTGAAATAAGCCAGTCACAGAAAAACAAATACCGTGGGATTTCACTCTATATGATGTCTCTAATGTAGTAAAACTTATGGAAGCATGAAGTAAAATAGTAATTGGCGAAGAGGGATATAAGGAGTTGCTGTTCAACGAACATGGATTTTTTTTTTTTTTTTTCTGAGTTGGAGTCTCACTCTGTCACCCAGGCTGGAGTGCAGTGGCACATTCACGGCCCCCGCAGCCTCAACCTGCTTGGCTTATGCGATTCTTCTGCCTCAGCCTCTTAAGTAGCTGGAACTACAGGCGTGCACCACCACGCCTGGCTGTTTTTTGATTTATTGT